CTACCTCCTTTAAGACAGGGTCTCTGTTGCATTAAATTTTCCCCTCCCCCACCCTGGGGGACCCGTGTGCACCCTCTGAGGACTCTAGGGTCTTCCGTTCCTGATACAAACTGAGAAAACTGACATGATACATTCTATTTAGGTTTTAGCATGGTTTATATGACATCCAGGAAAGGGTGACTTACAAAGGCATAAACTCTCATAGTCCATCTTCTTCATTTTGCCAAAGCTTTGGGATCCACACCACCAATGACGTTCAGTCTGCAGGGCTTCTGCCCTGTGGTTCACAGCTCAGTTCCGTGTTCCATAATGGCCACGACCCCTCCCCTTTTTCCCACTGCACTCAGAGCCTACGCGCCCCCCATCAGTTCTAGCTTTCCAGAGGAACTTCCAGGTTACAGTCTCTCATTGGTTTGGAGTTCAATTAGGCTAAGCTGGCCAGCCAGCAAGCCCCAGGGATCCTCCTGTCTCTGCCTCCCCACTACTGGGATTGCAAGCATGTACCTCCCACCTGACATTTTTACATGGATCCTGGGAATTGAACTCAGGTCCTCATGCTTGTAAGGTAAGCACTTTACCAAGTGAGCTATCTCCCAAGCTCTGGATATTTTACTTTAAATCATTTGTACAAATTTACAAAAATTTTAAGAGTTTGTGAAGGGTAAACTAAGTTCGCATACCAATGACACATCCATTACCTTATGTTAGAGTCAAGGACTCTGGCATATCCACCTTGGTCCCCATTCTTGTCATTTCTGACCTTCCTTCCTGAACCCCATAATGGCATTCCAGATTAAAAAGAGGAAGGCAAAAGAACAGGCCCAAGCAAGACTTTGCCAATTTAGTCAAGATGGGAGACCCTCCTTTTTTTGGTCTTTTTGAGACAGGATTTCCCTGTAGCCCCAGCTGACCTGGAACTCACTATGTAGACCAAGCTGGCCTTGAACTCACAGGGATCTGCCTGCCTCTGCCTCTGCCTCCTGAGTCCTGGGATTAAAAGCATGCACTGCCACACCCAGCAGGAGACCCTCCTTTTATCTTCTGTTTACAACCTAATGTCTAGAACATATCCAGTCACTCACTGCCCTGAACCACAATGGAAGATTGGAAATCAAGCCTTGCACTTAGGTCCATTGACAACCAGAGTCCTGCTTTGTGTGGTAATTCACAGTGTCCAGCACTGCTCAATCTTCAAGCTGAACCCTTACTGCAGGAACAAAACAAGAGCCAGTATAGAGCCTGGTTTGAGTAGCTTATTGTGAATAACTAAGCTCAAACCTATTGAAACAGAATCTCTAGAGCTGGAAACCTGAGAACTGTAATTTGTAAAGTTCCAACCACTTTCCTCCTTGCCTCTAGGATGCAAATGCCCTATCTTCCCACTTCTAATCACAGTCCTCTGGCCCATCTCTCCTCACAGATCAGCCATGGCCCAACATTCATGTGCAGCATCATAGGCTGTGCCGTGAGTCCAGCTGTGCATTTCTCCTTCACCAGTTACAACTTTGGGACCTGCTTCATCTACCAAGCTGGGATGCCCCCATACAAACAAATCTTGATTGTCACCAACAAGGAAGAAACACCTATGAGGTAAGCAGGCTTCTCAGAACAAGACAATTCTACAGCAACGTGAGGATTCTCACTCCCTGAAGCTCAGTTCATCTGTCCCTCACCTCACTCCCTGAAGCTCAGTTCATCTGTCCCTCACCTCACTCCCTGAAGCTCAGTTCATCTGTCCCTCACCTCACTCCCTGAAGCTCAGTTCATCTGTCCCTCACCTCACTCCCTGAAGCTCAGTTCATCTGTCCCTCACCTCACTCCCTGAAGCTCAGTTCATCTGTCCCTCACCTCACTCCCTGAAGCTCAGTTCATCTGTCCCTCACCTCACTCCCTGAAGCTCAGTTCATCTGTCCCTCACCTCACTCCCTGAAGCTCAGTTCATCTGTCCCTCACCTCACTCCCTGAAGCTCAGTTCATCTGTCCCTCACCTCACTCCCTGAAGCTCAGTTCATCTGTCCCTCACCTCACTCCCTGAAGCTCAGTTCATCTGTCCCTCACCTCACTCCCTGAAGCTCAGTTCATCTGTCCCTCACCTCACTCCCTGAAGCTCAGTTCATCTGTCCCTCACCTCACTCCCTGAAGCTCAGTTCATCTGTCCCTCACCTCACTCCCTGAAGCTCAGTTCATCTGTCCCTCACCTCACTCCCTGAAGCTCAGTTCATCTGTCCCTCACCTCACTCCCTGAAGCTCAGTTCATCTGTCCCTCACCTCACTCCCTGAAGCTCAGTTCATCTGTCCCTCACCTCACTCCCTGAAGCTCAGTTCATCTGTCCCTCACCTCACTCCCTGAAGCTCAGTTCATCTGTCCCTCACCTCACTCCCTGAAGCTCAGTTCATCTGTCCCTCACCTCACTCCCTGAAGCTCAGTTCATCTGTCCCTCACCTCACTCCCTGAAGCTCAGTTCATCTGTCCCTCACCTCACTCCCTGAAGCTCAGTTCATCTGTCCCTCACCTCACTCCCTGAAGCTCAGTTCATCTGTCCCTCACCTCACTCCCTGAAGCTCAGTTCATCTGTCCCTCACCTCACTCCCTGAAGCTCAGTTCATCTGTCCCTCACCTCACTCCCTGAAGCTCAGTTCATCTGTCCCTCACCTCACTCCCTGAAGCTCAGTTCATCTGTCCCTCACCTCACTCCCTGAAGCTCAGTTCATCTGTCCCTCACCTCACTCCCTGAAGCTCAGTTCATCTGTCCCTCACCTCACTCCCTGAAGCTCAGTTCATCTGTCCCTCACCTCACTCCCTGAAGCTCAGTTCATCTGTCCCTCACCTCACTCCCTGAAGCTCAGTTCATCTGTCCCTCACCTCACTCCCTGAAGCTCAGTTCATCTGTCCCTCACCTCACTCCCTGAAGCTCAGTTCATCTGTCCCTCACCTCACTCCCTGAAGCTCAGTTCATCTGTCCCTCACCTCACTCCCTGAAGCTCAGTTCATCTGTCCCTCACCTCACTCCCTGAAGCTCAGTTCATCTGTCCCTCACCTCACTCCCTGAAGCTCAGTTCATCTGTCCCTCACCTCACTCCCTGAAGCTCAGTTCATCTGTCCCTCACCTCACTCCCTGAAGCTCAGTTCATCTGTCCCTCACCTCACTCCCTGAAGCTCAGTTCATCTGTCCCTCACCTCACTCCCTGAAGCTCAGTTCATCTGTCCCTCACCTCACTCCCTGAAGCTCAGTTCATCTGTCCCTCACCTCACTCCCTGAAGCTCAGTTCATCTGTCCCTCACCTCACTCCCTGAAGCTCAGTTCATCTGTCCCTCACCTCACTCCCTGAAGCTCAGTTCATCTGTCCCTCACCTCACTCCCTGAAGCTCAGTTCATCTGTCCCTCACCTCACTCCCTGAAGCTCAGTTCATCTGTCCCTCACCTCACTCCCTGAAGCTCAGTTCATCTGTCCCTCACCTCACTCCCTGAAGCTCAGTTCATCTGTCCCTCACCTCACTCCCTGAAGCTCAGTTCATCTGTCCCTCACCTCACTCCCTGAAGCTCAGTTCATCTGTCCCTCACCTCACTCCCTGAAGCTCAGTTCATCTGTCCCTCACCTCACTCCCTGAAGCTCAGTTCATCTGTCCCTCACCTCACTCCCTGAAGCTCAGTTCATCTGTCCCTCACCTCACTCCCTGAAGCTCAGTTCATCTGTCCCTCACCTCACTCCCTGAAGCTCAGTTCATCTGTCCCTCACCTCACTCCCTGAAGCTCAGTTCATCTGTCCCTCACCTCACTCCCTGAAGCTCAGTTCATCTGTCCCTCACCTCACTCCCTGAAGCTCAGTTCATCTGTCCCTCACCTCACTCCCTGAAGCTCAGTTCATCTGTCCCTCACCTCACTCCCTGAAGCTCAGTTCATCTGTCCCTCACCTCACTCCCTGAAGCTCAGTTCATCTGTCCCTCACCTCACTCCCTGAAGCTCAGTTCATCTGTCCCTCACCTCACTCCCTGAAGCTCAGTTCATCTGTCCCTCACCTCACTCCCTGAAGCTCAGTTCATCTGTCCCTCACCTCACTCCCTGAAGCTCAGTTCATCTGTCCCTCACCTCACTCCCTGAAGCTCAGTTCATCTGTCCCTCACCTCACTCCCTGAAGCTCAGTTCATCTGTCCCTCACCTCACTCCCTGAAGCTCAGTTCATCTGTCCCTCACCTCACTCCCTGAAGCTCAGTTCATCTGTCCCTCACCTCACTCCCTGAAGCTCAGTTCATCTGTCCCTCACCTCACTCCCTGAAGCTCAGTTCATCTGTCCCTCACCTCACTCCCTGAAGCTCAGTTCATCTGTCCCTCACCTCACTCCCTGAAGCTCAGTTCATCTGTCCCTCACCTCACTCCCTGAAGCTCAGTTCATCTGTCCCTCACCTCACTCCCTGAAGCTCAGTTCATCTGTCCCTCACCTCACTCCCTGAAGCTCAGTTCATCTGTCCCTCACCTCACTCCCTGAAGCTCAGTTCATCTGTCCCTCACCTCACTCCCTGAAGCTCAGTTCATCTGTCCCTCACCTCACTCCCTGAAGCTCAGTTCATCTGTCCCTCACCTCACTCCCTGAAGCTCAGTTCATCTGTCCCTCACCTCACTCCCTGAAGCTCAGTTCATCTGTCCCTCACCTCACTCCCTGAAGCTCAGTTCATCTGTCCCTCACCTCACTCCCTGAAGCTCAGTTCATCTGTCCCTCACCTCACTCCCTGAAGCTCAGTTCATCTGTCCCTCACCTCACTCCCTGAAGCTCAGTTCATCTGTCCCTCACCTCACTCCCTGAAGCTCAGTTCATCTGTCCCTCACCTCACTCCCTGAAGCTCAGTTCATCTGTCCCTCACCTCACTCCCTGAAGCTCAGTTCATCTGTCCCTCACCTCACTCCCTGAAGCTCAGTTCATCTGTCCCTCACCTCACTCCCTGAAGCTCAGTTCATCTGTCCCTCACCTCACTCCCTGAAGCTCAGTTCATCTGTCCCTCACCTCACTCCCTGAAGCTCAGTTCATCTGTCCCTCACCTCACTCCCTGAAGCTCAGTTCATCTGTCCCTCACCTCACTCCCTGAAGCTCAGTTCATCTGTCCCTCACCTCACTCCCTGAAGCTCAGTTCATCTGTCCCTCACCTCACTCCCTGAAGCTCAGTTCATCTGTCCCTCACCTCACTCCCTGAAGCTCAGTTCATCTGTCCCTCACCTCACTCCCTGAAGCTCAGTTCATCTGTCCCTCACCTCACTCCCTGAAGCTCAGTTCATCTGTCCCTCACCTCACTCCCTGAAGCTCAGTTCATCTGTCCCTCACCTCACTCCCTGAAGCTCAGTTCATCTGTCCCTCACCTCACTCCCTGAAGCTCAGTTCATCTGTCCCTCACCTCACTCCCTGAAGCTCAGTTCATCTGTCCCTCACCTCACTCCCTGAAGCTCAGTTCATCTGTCCCTCACCTCACTCCCTGAAGCTCTGGTGCAAGTATAATAACTGCTCAATGCTCTGGACCAGGGAGCTTAAGGAATTGGCTTCCTTATGGCTGGGTGACTTGGGTTTGCGTCTTACCAGGACTAAAGCGAAAGAGAAAGCCAAACGGGAGTTTATGTAGTGGCCCTCAAATGTTAGAATACATGAGTCACCTGGGGAACTTTAGAAAACGCAGCTTCCAGGCTATCCCAGAGATCCTGATTCAGTAGGCCTGGGGGCACCTCAGAGTCTGCATTCTGGAGCTCCAGGGAGTGCTTCCTCTTTGGTATTAATATGTTTAGTTAGCATACAAAACAATGGGTTTCATTATGACATCTTTACACACATGTACACGTGTGTGCATATGTGTAGCTATGTGAACATATCTGTATGTCTGCATATGCATGTGTGCATATGTATGTGTGCATGTGTACACGTAGGTACATTGTGTGTGTGTGTGTGTGTGTGGTATTACTTTGTTCTTATTCACCTCTCCACTGCCCTTTCCTGCCCCTCCTCACTCACTCTTGCTAATTCCCCTTCTTTCCCCAGATAGTCCTGCTTTTCTGTCATGTGTATGTGTTCGTGTATGTGTGTGTGTGTACCTGTTAAACCTAGATTCTTCATATAAAAGGAAACATGATCTTTGCCTTTCTGAGAGTCTGACTTATTTCACTTAACATAATGATCTCCAGTCAGGGAGCACTTCTTGACAAACACTGGAGTATTGTTTCCTGTTTCCTGACACTATTTCCTCTACCAGGGGGAAGGAAGGAAGAATAAAATGCCCAAGATGAGCTGGAAAAATGGGACATAAAAGGAAATGAACATTTATTGGATGCCTATATTATGGCACACACTTTGTAAACATGATCTTGTGCTTGACTGTAGAGCAAGTCAAGGAGAGTTTGAGTAATTTATCAAAGGTGACCCAGAATATGAGATCTGACCCCCAAGACCTCAGGGAACTGAGACCTGAGAAGCCTCCCTGCCTTCAGCTTCTGAGACCAGGTGTTTTTCTGTCCAGGTCATCACCTTGGAGCCCTTCCACAACATCACCCTAAAGCCCAAAGAAGTCTGTAAGCTGGAAGTCACCTTTGCCCCCAAGAGGCGTGTCCCTCCTTTCTCTGAGGAAGTGTTCATGGAATGGATGGGGCTACTGCGCCCCCTCTTCCTCATCAAGGGCTGCTGCCAGGCCCTAGAGATCGCCCTCGACCAGGAACATCTTTCTTTTGGACCTGTGGTATATCAAACACAAGCCATGCGCCGCATCCTCATGATGAACACGGGCGATGTGGGTGCAAGGTAGGGCAGTGTCCTTCCTACCACAGGCTGTAGCAGAGATCTCTAACCCTGAATTCTGTCCCTTGCCTAAAGATGTGACACCACAGTGGCAGCTACTTCCATGATTACATCGTAGAGAACACTGGTTCAATTCTGTTAAATGCCCTTCACGTAGCTCATCTGATCGAATCCCAACAACAATCCTAAAAAGCCAAGACTACTATGATGTGATCTCTGTATTTAAGATACTGGGGCAGGAGGATCTCAAACTGAAGGCTAGCCTAAGCTGCATAGCCATACCCTGTCTTTTAAAAATCCAAGAACTGGGGCTGGAGAGATGGCTCACCGGTTAAGAGCACTGCTGCCCTTGCAGAGGACCCACATGCCAGGTAACAACCATCCAAAACTCTAGTTTCAGGGTATCCAATATCCTCTTCTGACCTCTGAGGCCATTGTACAATATGGGTATACCTACATACATGCAGGCAATATACTCATACACATATAATAAAAATAATAAATAAAAATTATTTTTAAAAAGTTAAAAAAAAAAAACTAGAGCCAAGTGTGTTGGTGCACACCTTTAATCCCAGCACCAGGAAGGCAGAAGCAGGCAAATCTCTATGAGATCAAGGCAAGCCTGGTCTACATAGTTAGTTCCAGGCCAGCTGGGGCTACAGGGAGACCTTGTCTCAAAAAGACCAAAAAAAAAAAAAAAAAAACTAAGAACTGATGTCAGGTGTGGTGTCACACTTCTGTAATCTGATCGCTTGGGGATTGGAGGTAGAGTCATGAAGATCGGGAGTTTGAGACAGCCTTGGCTTCATGTATTCTAGGCCAGCCTGGGACATATGAAACCTGAGAGAGAGAGAGAGAGAGAGAGAGAGAGAGAGAGAGAGAGAGAGAGAATATATGGAGACAGAATATGATCCTAGGCATCATTCCTGTCAAAATCAGAGAAAATACCAATAATACGACTCTCAATCAGCCTTACAGATGAAGTATTAAAAGGTTGAGTAACTTCCCTAAATCATGCATGTAGCAAAAACTACTTGCAGCTACAAGGCTGAGCATGCTTTACGTGACTATCCCAGACCTCTAGGGTCAGTACTGCAGCATCCTCATTTCATAGGTGAAGTGAGGCTCAAAGAGACTAGGTGACTGATCCAGGATCCCACAGCCAGGAAATGAAGACAGGGCCAGAACACAGACTCTTCCCTCTTCCTGCTCATGAATTGACATGGCCATTCAGGCTGTCACCACACACCCCAGAGGCACTCGCCACAGTCAGGGGCCACCAAGAGAGATACAATGTGATAGCCCTGTGTGGGAAGGACTAGCCTGTACAGTTCATCCTCTGTTTCCTGCTCATACCAAGTAGCCAACCACAGGGGTGACCCCATGGGGCCATCAAAATCCCAGTGCCTCTAAGAACAGATGTGACTCTCACATGAAGGGATTATCAACTACCCTCCTGGATCTAAACAGAGAGACAGTGCATGGGACAGTTTGGACTCTGGTCCTAGCCCAGCCACTTGCTGGATGAGAAATCTTGGGAACACATGTGCACATGTTAATCTATATATTCCCTGATGTGTGACCATGGATAATAAGTATAGCCACTTCCCACCACTTTTCAGCTCTGAGATGGAGCAGAGTCCCCTTACCCAGCGAATGACCTTAGTTAATGTTCCCTCACTGCCTCTGCTGTCTGACAGATCTTCCTCCCCCTAGATCCTAGGGATAGGCAAAGTGGGAACCATGTAATCAAAAGCCCTTGTTGAAAGCTCTTATTTTCAGTAGCATTGGGGATACCCCCAGAATACTAACAGATCATCTTCCTTGGCTTCTTTTGTCTTGGAAAAGGTTTAAATGGGATGTGAAGAAGTTCAAGCCTCATTTCTCCATCAGCCCTGAAGAAGGCTACATCACCTCTGGCATGGAAGTTTCTTTTGACATAACCTACCATCCCACTGAGGTAGGAAAGGAGAGTCTCTATAAAAACTTGATGTGCTTCATCCAAGGAGGAACTCCTCTGTGCCTCACCCTGTCTGGAATCTGCGTGGGACCACCTGCAGTCAAAGAGGTGAGTAGGCATTGCAAAGATGGGGCAGAGGCAGGAGTGAGCCCAGCAAGGGAACTCAAGTCTCAGAATGGGCACCCAACTCAGTCCACTTCCTGACCACCACAGGGATCATCCCCCACTACTGGAATATTCTTTTCTCCCTCTTCATTTACTTAATTCTTGTTCTTTCTTCAGCTCTTGACTCAAGCATTACAGTCTCAAGGAGGCCTGAACTGGCATGCCTTTTAAATCAAATTCTGTTGTAAGAACCATGAGCAGCGGCTGGGGGCCTGACTAGGTCTGCAATGTTTGCCTCACGAGCATTCTTTTCCTTTTTCTGAAATAGGAGGACTTTGGGAGAGTTTTGAGTAGAAGACTGACGTTATTTGATGTATGTTTTAATGGAGTTAACGCACATGTTGACAGGTGACACAGGAAGAGAGGCTGATGAGAAATACTTCCCATAGAACAAGGGAGACGCCATTGGAGCTTGGAGCTTGGGTGGCACAGTGGCACTAGGGGTGGTGGGAAGCAGAGATATTACAGCTCATGGATTCAGCTAGGCTGGCTGGCCAATGATCCACCCATGGGGATCCACCCAGCCCCAACCCCTCAGTGCTGGAATTGCCAACGTACCCCGCCACATCTGGTGTTTACGTGAGTGCCAGAAATTGAACTCAGGTCCTCATGTCTGCACTGCAAGCATTTTACTGACTGACCCATTTCCACAGCCCCTACACACTGGAATCATGTACAGCTGTAAGGAAAAGTGAAATCGTGATTTACAAGAAAATGGATGCAACTGAAAACCATATGCTAAGTGATATATGTCTGAATATATATCTGTATTATGCACGGGAGGGTCACAAAACTAGAAAGATCATGGTAGGGGGAGAGATCTTAAGGTAAGGGGAGAGATAGAGAGGGTAACGGAGTATATGTGATAAGAAAGCAAAGTGGGAACTCTGGGAAAAGAAAGGGAATCAACTAGGGGGAAAGGAGTACAGGGGAGGAAGGTGGGGGAGAACAAAGCGTAATGACACATGTACAAAAATGTCATTACTTTGCTAGTGTAAAAAAAAATTACAGAGGCTGGAGAGCTAGCTCAGCAGTTAAGAGCACTGACTGCTCTTGCTGAGGGTGCAGGTTCGATTCCCAGCCCCCATGTGGTGGCTAACAAACACCCATAACTCCTGTTCCAGGGGCTCCGACACCTTCTTCTGACCTCTGAGAACATTGCATAACACGGGTGTACTTATACACAAGCAGGCAATACACTCGTGCACATAAAATAAAAATAATAAAATTATTTTTAGAAAATGTATCAACTGTATCTGACACATAGAAGGAACCTAATAAATATTTGCTGAATGACCAACAATAACAAAGATGATCCATTGGAACTAGCAGTGGGAAGCTCTGTTAAAATCTGTCTTCCCTCACACATATGCTGTGCCTCTGTCCCCTGAAGACAGTCTGAGGAACTAGAACCAAGGGTAAGATGCCTGCTTTTTCCAGGTAGTGAATTTCAACTGCCAAGTGCGCTCCAGGCACACGCAGACCATCTTGCTCTCAAACCGCACCAACCAGACTTGGAAGCTGCACCCCATCTTTGAGGGTGAGCACTGGGAGGGGCCTGAGTTCATCACCCTGGAGGCCAATCAGCAAAACAAGCCCTATGAGATCACCTACAAGCCCCGCACCATGAATGTGGAGAACCGCAAACACCAGGTAGGTCTCCCCATCTGATTTCTGCCCTAGAAGATGGGAGGAGCTGGTGGAGAGAGGTTAGAAGACGGTTTGGGAGTTTAGAGTTCACAGAAAGTTTGAACAAGGGGAGAAAACTCAGATCACCATGGAAGGATAGGGAGCCATGCAGCCCCACAGGCTGTGATTTCCCTTTCAGGAATGAAGTCTTAGACCAAGCATCAAGAAGCTAATTGTATTAGTCAGGGTTCTCCAAAGAAACAGAACTGGTAGAATGAATATATATGTATAGAGATTTATCAGCTTAGCTCACAGGATAGAGTCCGAGTAGTCCAACAATGGCTGCACCACACTGGAGAGGTTGAGAATCCATAGTCACTCAGTCCACGAGGCTGGATGTCTCAGTAGTCCCAATCTGGCACTGAAGGTCTGA